CCAGGTTCACAGCCTCAGAGGTATCCTCACCTCTCGCCCCTCCCACAGTCAGTTGCCAAGTCTTGATTCTACCCCACAACACACCTCCCATTTGTTCACTTCTCTACTTACCCAGCCGCCATCATGGCTCAGAATCTCAGAACTTCTGCCCCCTGCCTCCGTCTTTCCTCTCTCCAGTGCATCCTCCACAACAAAATAATCTCCCTAAAGCAGAGGTCTGACCATGTGGGTCCTCTTCTTAAGAACTTTCTGTGGCTCCCTATCGCCTATGTGCTTATGGAGGAACGCACAAGGTGCTCAGCCCGGTGCTTAAAGCCCTTCACAAGCGCTGCAGCCCACCCTTCTGGGTTTATTGCATCTCATTCACCTTCACATACACTTGGGCCTTCCTGCTGTTCTCCAAACTACACACACTCCTGCCTTCACGACTTTGCACAGGCTGCCTTTCCTGCCTGGAACGCTCTCTCTCCTCTCTCCACCTCTTAGGATCACCAGCTCCCTGCAAAGCTCAGCTCCTGGGCTGTCTCCTTCTGGCTGACTTTCCCGACAGGTCCCCTTACCTTGTTAGTGACTGCTCTTCTCCCCAGACCATCAAAAACAGGGTGTCCCACAAGTCTTAGTGCCCTTTAAAGCTAAGGAAGCCTGTGAGCGCACTAAGACTTTTGGGATGCCTGTATAGACTTCTCTGCGTGGCTGTTGTCCCTTCCCCCTCCCCCATCTCTGCCTGAAGTGGTCTCTCCACCCATCAGCCTGAGGGCTGATGCTGTCCCAGAGCGGGAGGAGGAAGCTCTGGAGCTGCTCCTCAGGGGCTCAGCACATTTGTCCCAAATTACAGGAATATCAAATATTCCCAAACTAAAATGCAGCTTCTAAAAGTGCCTTAAACCCTAATACAATTTTTTAAAAATTATCCGCCCACTACATGACATTATTGGCATGGATATCAGTCAGGGTGGTCTAAATTGTAAACCATCCAGGACACAGGTTGGCCAATCTTATTACTGTCTCTGGTTTTTTGTGTTTATGTGTTTTTTGTTTTTACAAGGCAATTGGGGTTAAGGGACTTGCCCAAGGTAACACAGCTAGTAAGTGTCAAGTGTCTGGTCTGAGACTGGATTTGAACTCAGGTCCTCCTAACTCCAAGGCCAGTGCTCTATCCACTGTGCCATCTAGCTGCCCCTTAGTACTGCCTCTGTTAAGAGAACAAATAAAGGTTTGCTCCTCGCCTCTCAGCAGACACTTTAGTGCAGAGCCTTGCCTGGAGTCAGGAAGACCTGAGTTCAAATCCAGCTCAGACATTTACTAGCTGTGTGACCTTGGGCAAGTCCCTTCACCTCTGTCTGCCTCAAGTTCCTCAACTATAAAATGGAGATAAAAACAGCATCTCCCTCCCCGGGTTGTTGTGACGATCAAATCAGATAATTATAAAGTGCTTAGCATAGTGCCTGGCACATGGCAGGTGCTATGGAAACGCTATCTAGTATTATGCCTACTTATTATGTTATTATTATTATTATTCTCCAGGGTGCGGCCTCCCCCAAAGAGTTCTATGCCAAGAATTCCCGATGGACAGAAGGACTGATCTCGGCCTCCAAAGCTGTTGGTTGGGGAGCCACAGTCATGGTGTAAGTAGCCGCCAGCCCCAGGGTTCTCCAGAGCCCCAAGAACACAGGAAGCCAGCGCGGAACATTTAAGAATTTTGTCCGGCCTGGGGGAGCAGACCCTTGGCCAAAGAGCTCTACGAACAGGAGAGGGAGCAGAGGCTTTCTGCAGGTGGTGTAACAGTAGGTAGCATTTGTCAGGGAAGTTTTTGCTTCTTTCTCTCCCACTCCTGTAGGGAGTACCCTCTAAGCCTCTGGAGGTCTGAGTTGTAAGAGACAGACCTTTTTCTTTTCTGCTCATCAGGGATGCAGCGGATCTGGTGTTTCAAGGGAAAGGGAAGTTTGAGGAGCTGATGGTGTGTTCCCGTGAAATTGCAGCCAGCACAGCACAGCTGGTGGCTGCTTCCAAGGTAGGATGCCCCAGGATATGAAGAGCTTCATAACTACCTTCTCTCCAGGTTTGCAGAATAGATGTTTTCTTCAGGATCCAGATGGGATAATTCAGATGTTCAGGTCTCCAAAGTCAAAGCCACCCTATTCCCCTGGAGTCACGATGCGGAGCTCCTAGGGCAGCCTACTGGTTTGTCCAGCGTCCCCCCAGAAGTCTTGCTCCCTGCCCCCGGCTTGATTCTCCCATGCCTTCACCTCTTGCCTCCCAGCATGGAGAAGTTTCTCCCTGAGTGTTCTCAATGTGCCAGGCTGACTTGCAGTTAACACTCAGATTGAGGGATGCTTGGCACAGAGGACACGGAGAGCCGGCTTCCTGCGCGGTCTGACCCCAGCATGAGCAGCACAGCTGGTGCCAGCCTTTGCTCAAGCATCGGCATGGTACCTTTACTCAGGATCCATCCTTTGCTCCGCGGCGGGCCTCGCCACCTCATGTTTCTGTTCCACTTTTCATTGGCTGCTGCAGACGCACAGACCGGCAGGTTCCCAATCCCCCAGGAGATTTCACTGCGTAACCTACTTACTGGTACCACAGTTAGAATTAGAGTCATGATGCGGATATATAGCCCCACAGTCAGGAAGGGTTTCAGGAACAAGAAGCGAGCCAAGAGTGACAGTGTGGAGGGCAGCTTCTGCCACGTGTGGGAGTGGTTTTCCAGCGCATCAGAGGGCAAGCGTGCCCAGACCAACCTGTTTCGGGCAACATGCTGCATGAATCTGAATCCCCTTTGGCCTCACCTAGGTGAAAGCAGACAAAGACAGCACAAACCTGGCTCAGCTGCAGCAGGCCTCTCGGGGGGTGAACCAGGCGACGGCAGAGGTGGTGGCATCGACCATGGCAGGGAAGTCACAGACTGAGGAGACAGGTAGTCTTCCCAAGGCCTTCTCCCCACTCCTGCACAGATGTCCTTTCCATTCTCCTTGTATCTACCTTGTCCACAAACTCCTTTACCCTGTTTTTGCCTAAATATTCTTTCTCCTCTGTTTCATCTTCCCCTGCCCACATTCACCTCACCCCCAGGCTGGACCACCAAGCTAGGCAGGTTGGCTGCATCAGCGTGACAGCAGAGTTTTCATGGACTGTGGATCACTGCTCTTCCTTTTTGTAAAATGGGCCTATGATTTCATTGGTTTAGGGAAAGCCTTTCCTGTACCAAAGCAGATTGATACCTGCTTCTCAAGAGTCTACCTCTTGGAGAGTTGCCTGGGGTACTCAGAGATGAAGTGCCTTGTCCAGGATGTATCAGGGGCATGACTTGAACACAGGTCTTCCTGACTCCGAGGCCAGGTCCTTATCCCTTAAGCCATGTTGCCCTTGCCCACAGAAACTATAGAATGCCTCTGGGCAAGTTCCCAGGTAGTCCCCAGCAGGGGCTGCTGCCAGTCATACTCTGCCTCCTTCATCCCTGGGTTGCTTTCGAGCAGTGTGCTGGCACTGGAGAGATTTGGCCAGGAACAGTTTGTGACGAGGTCTTCTCATTTGCCTCATTCCAGAAAACATGGACTTCTCCAGCCTGACGCTGACGCAGATCAAACGTCAAGAGATGGACTCCCAGGTACGGGTCTAGGCCGTCTGTGTTGTGGCTGTGATGGGCTCCCCAGAGTCCCTCTGGTCCAGGGGAACACCTGGCAGGGAGAACAGCACAGCATGCATCTGCCTTCCAGACATTAGGAAACCGAGAAATCCTGGTGCAGGGAGGGCCAGGGAGGGGCAGAATCTTAGCCGCCAGCCAGAAATGGACAGTGAGTCTAGACCCGGGGGGCCTGGGGAAGCCCTGGTGCCCCGTGAGTTGCTCTCTGGGGCTAGTACCAAGGTCTGTGTTCCCGTGTAGGAAAGTGAATAAAAAATAGGCATCAGGCCTCAGTCACCTCAGCATCTCAGCTCCACAGCACCAGTCTTCCTGCTGTTTCAGGTGAGTTTATTTTATGGAGAACAGTAAAAGGGTCTCTATAGGTTCTACCATATTAGAAAAAGTTCTAGGCAGCAAGAGGACCGCTAGGGGGCGCCACAGTGCACAGAGCCTTGGTCTGGAAATCAAGAAGATTCACCTTCCTAAGTTCAAATCTGGCTTCAGCCTGTAACCCTGGGCAAGTCACCTAACCCTGTTTACCTCAGTTTCCTCATCTGTAAAATGAGCTGGAGAAGGAAATGGCAAACCGCTCCAGTGTCTCTGTCAAGAAAACCACAAATGGAGTCACGGAGAGTCAGACACGACCGAAAACCAGCAAGAGCCTGGCAAACGCTGGAGATGCTCATGGCCAGGAGGCCGGCCCCTTGGTGCCGGACTCTGTGGCCAGAGATTGACCGGCTGTACAGAAGCAGCCCCCAGGGCCTCCACCAGCTTCACCTGCTGCTTAGACTCCCAGGAAGTGGGTAGAAAAAAGCAAGCAGTTCAGGATGCGCCATTCTCGGTGACCTGAAGGTGAAAGGGCTGTTTTCCTTTTGTGGTTTACCCAAGAAATACAAAGTAGGCACTTCCTCTTGTGGTTTCCTTAGGTTCACAAAGCAACCACCTCCCGTGGCGGATCACGCTGGTTGGGAGACAGTGGTCTTGAAGGGTGAATGAAAGAGATGACGGTAACACAAGGGATGCAGAATTGTAGACTTAGAACTGAAAGGGCCTGGCAGGCCACCTCATCCAGCCCCCTCATTTTACAGATAAGGAAACTGAGGCCCAGGGAAGGGTAGTAAGGTAACAAAGGATCTGATTCCAGAGTCTGTGTTGTTCCCACTACACCCCTGCCCTCATGCAAGAGGAGGAGGTCGTGAAGAGAGGAGACAGCCTAGTGTAGTGGGAAGAGTGTTGGCTTTGGGGCCAGAGGACCTGGGTTCAAATCTCAGCCCTGCCTGATTGCCTTTGTAACCTTGGACCAGTCCCTTCACCTCCCTGGGTCTCAGTTTCCTCACCTGTAAATTAAAGGACATCGCCTTTTAGTTTTTTTCAAGCTTTAGATCCTGCAAACCTATGAAAATGGCCGGTACAATGGTGTTTGTTTTTAATAGAGGAATCACAGCAAGGGAGAGGAATGAGGTGGGAACTGAAAGTGGGCTTTTTGGAAATGGAAAGTGAAGGAAGTAGACAGCAAGGAGAAGTGGATGCAAAGCTAAATGAGACCAAAATGAATCCAAGTCCAAATGAGATCGTCCTTGAGTCCGTGATGAAGCAAAGCTCCACATACTCCCCCCACAGGTAAAAGTGTTGGAACTGGAAAATCAGCTGGAGAAGGAGCGGCAGAAGCTGGGCTACCTGAGGAAGAAGCACTACGAGCTGGCCGGCGTCGCCGAGGGCTGGGAGGGCGGTAAGTCCAGGGCGGAACGCGGAGGGGGCGGCCGAGCATGGCTGCGTACACCTAGCCGCGCTCCCCACTCACACGCACTCTGTTCTCCGAGGAGCATAGCCTGACGCTCAGGCTGGTGGCCATACGTCCAGCCTAGCGAGAAGAGAGGGAAGGCAGAGCACAGGCCTGGACCCAGGCCTCGCCCAGCCAAGCTGCCCGCACCTGTGGTCATCACTTAAGGCTTTGTCAGGGATGGTGGAGGTGACGGCTGCTGCCGTGGCCAAGACGCCAGGCACTGTTGGTTCCTGTTGGGATGGCCTAAGTCTGGGGCCTGCAAACACACCGAGCCATAACTCCCTCTTGACCTTTAAGCAGCAGCTGTCCCTGGTCCCATGATGGCAGACACAATTTGCTTAAGAAAGCTTTAGGAGAACAGTCTAGTGAAAAAGAATTCTGGGCTTGGAGTCAGGAGAAACCTGGGTTCCGATCGTGCCTGACGTTTGTTAGATATGTGGCCCGACCTCTATGAGCCTCAGTTTCCTCATTTGTAAAAGAGAGTTAATAACACCCCCAGTGCCTCCCTCACAGGGCTGCCGTGAGGGTTGAACGAGACGCTGTAAGTGAAGCGCTTTGAAAGCAGGGCTTCTTAAAGGTGCCAGCTACTGTGTTGTCTATGATTGTTTTTTTAAATTGCTTCTTAGAGCCCGGAGCACCTCCAGCTGCTGCGCCAGAAGCCGAGTTAGTTAAGGACTAGAGCCCGGCCCTCGCCCCAGACACCAGACCGTCAATCCTCATAACTTGTCTCTGTGCTTGCCGCGTGGCCACTCCACTGCCCATCTGCCCGCGCTGCAGACTCATCACCTCCCCCGCAGTCAGCCTCTCCCAGAGCTCCCACCCCACGGGACGCACTTTGATGTGAAGCGCGTCGAGTCGACCCTCACTTCCCCGCGCCTGCTCGAGATGCCGGCGGGCCCTCGCTAGCCATCTGGCCCCCAGGGAGCTTGCAGTGAACACGCCTCAGCCACATGACTCACTTCATCTCCGTGCTCATTTCGTAGGGCCAGGGGCCGGGCTTGCAGGGAGAGGCCAAGAGAGAGACTTCATCAGCGCCCTTTCCCTTTCCCCCTCAGTCTCGTCTGTTCCATCGTTTGCACAAACCGGGGAGCATCCGAGGGGGGTCCCAGGCCAAGAAGCTCTTCTGGATCTGTCCACAGGAGGGTCCTGCCCAACCAGGCCAGGGCAGTTCGTCCCCCTCCTTGGCAGTCTCGTGGATTCCCCACTGCTTCTTAGGCTGCTTGGTTTTTTGAAAAGTCAATTCCTATAGCCAACTTTCCTTAAGGGAGCCCCTCTGGAGCTCTTGGGACACAACTGGGTCCCGGTACCGTAGTGGTTAAACAATTAATGGTGCTGCTCAGGCTTTGCCCTTGGTGCTCCACATCCACCACATCACTGACCTCTGCTGGAGTGTGGAATGGTCCCGTCCACTTCCTAGAAGGGAATAGCTTCCTCCTAAGGGGAAGGCAGGTCGAGTGCCTTGTGTTACTGTACCTGGACCCTGGCTGACCCCCACGATTCACCTCCACACTTGTGGGGACCACAGAAGAGGGGCGAGGGAAGGGTCCGGCCCACATCCTCGGGGAACCATCATCCATGGCAACAACTCGTGATCAGGCTCCAGAAACCCCATGGTGCCCTCCTTGGATGGGGATGCTGAGAACAGCAGCACTGCTCTGTGCAGCAGGTCCTTCCCTGGCCACCACCCTCCCTACCTGACCAGGGTACCAAGAAGGAGAAGATGAGGGAAATCTCAATGGCTTTCACCAAGCAGTCAGCCTTGTCACCTCCCCGAACTGAAGGTGGATAATGACCTTTTCCAACTAATTAAGAAGCCCTGGTCAGAGAGAATAGAACAAGCCATCCCCAAAAAGGATAGAGGCTCATGTCTGGTGTCCATCTCCTCCAGTCCCTCTTACAGTGCCCTGTGCTATTTATAACTAACCAGTCACAAGCAGCAAACCCCCTATGAAGAAATGCTTGGAGCAATTAGTGTTGGAGGTGACTGCATCTGACTACTGTTCCCCGCCCAACAAGCTTCATGAACGCGAAAGAAAAAGGCAAGGATACCATCTTTGGACTCCTCACCAAACAGGCTCCTCAGGACATCTGGTTACTTGTCCACAAATGGAGAGAAAAGAAGATCGAGTACCAGCAGGCTCTGCTGCCCAAAATTCGCATGGCTCTTGGATCCTGGCAGTAGCAGCCAAGAAGCTTCCACTACGACCCAGGCTGCATCATGGTAGAGCTTGGAGATCCTGTTCAATCAATGGAAGAGGGAAGCCTTTGTGGCAGTTCCCCTGTGCATTTTAAGAGTGGGGACATTTCAGAAATTAGGAACTCAGTCACTGCACCCAAAAGGACGAAGGAATGAACCATGAAAATGAAGCAATCAATGCCTTTGTGCTCGACATCTTCCTGCTCCAAAGACTTGAAGAGATCATGCACTTTGTCACTGGGCCAAGAGTACAGGCCAGGAGTTCACAAAGAGGTTTGTCCTCATTTCAGTGCCCCTCAAAAGTATTCGGTCCAAACTCTCCTGCTTCCTTTTAATAGAAGCAACAGAGAGAATGGCTTTGGACAAGGTTCACCCCAGAGACTGGAGGTCATCCCTCTGAAAATTAACTAAGATCATTTCAAAAGCTCCTGTGAGTTTTGCTGAGTAGTAGTGGTGATCACATGCTAGTTGACATAGTCAGGCTCATCTGGATTTACACTAGGGAAGAACCTTGTGAGATANCCCAGAGACTGGAGGTCATCCCTCTGAAAATTAACTAAGATCATTTCAAAAGCTCCTGTGACTTTTGCTGAGTAGTAGTGGTGATCACATGCTAGTTGACATAGTTAGGCTCATCTGGATTTACACTAGGGAAGAACCTTGTGAGATG